AGAGTAGAATGACTGAGAGAACTCTTGTAACCGACCCCACTTAGTTGGAGACAATAATGATAAGTTATGAATATAAAAATAATAATAATAATAACAATTTGGGACCCTTACAACCGTCCATCTTACTGCTCTCTAAACATATAATTTGGACTGATCATTTCAATAGACCCTGTATCTGTCAAATTTGAACTATTTTAGGAGCTTCAATCTAATTTTAGGTGTGGAAATACATTCACGTGTACTAAGGATGGGTTTTGGGTCCTCAATCCATAAAAAACATAGGTCTCGAGAGTACAGTGTAGATATCATTTGTATTTCACATTGAGAGTATGCAATACAACACCAAGAAAATGTTTTCCTATTCCCTTTATGTCAATAGTCCACTACTAGGAATCACCATCCATTTTCACTGACAAATGATGGAGATGACTGTCACCCAAACAAACCTACATACCACTGTGAACTACATTTAATCTCTACCATCCATCTTAGGGAATTACGGTGGATGCCTCATGGTGTACCCTATACCACACACGTGTAGCACATGATGCACTTTTTTATATGATATATGTATTAATTTCTTCTTACTTTTTTTTTTTTTAACATATACTATGTTGCCGTGGGAATATAGTGTGCACCACTCCCCCAATCAGAAAACCTACATGGGAGGTTTTCTTTTTTTATTTGTTTCAATCTAAACTTTTAGTACATACCTAAAAATCACTAGATGATTATTCTCAAAAGAAAAAAAATTGAATTTTGAGTTTTTTAACACTTAGATAGATCCCATCCTCTAAAAATTGGAATGTCTCTAGTCAATCTTGAGATATTACTTTTTCAAGAGCATAGAAGGTGCAATTACTAAAACTTTTTTTTTTATTATTGATGTTGATACATCTTCAAAATTTTGGCTCCTAAAATTAATCTTAATTAAGGTTTTACCTAAGGGAATAAATGAACAAGATACTCCTATGAGAGCATAACATATTTTAACTTTTTGTTTTTTTTCTGAAAATGAAAAAAATGGCGCTACATGCCAAGGTTGGTGAGACAGTAGCTCAGCAGGTCATCCACACCAAGAATCCCAACAAATACCATGCCTCAAATTCCCTCCACAAATAAAGCTCATAGCTATTAACAACAATAAAATAAGAGGCATAAAATAATAAATAAATAAGCTCTTGAGTAGACTAAAGCCAAATAACCCACTGTGCTTAAAGAAAATATCAATAGTGCCATTTCAACTAGGAAAAGGTCTTCCATGAATTTGGAGGGAGCCGTACCTTGGGTTTGGGTACCTTCAAAGAGCCATATTGGATATTGTAAAAGGTATTTTAGCTATTTTGACATAGAGTTGGGGGGTTCAAAGGGGAGTTTTAATCATAATTGCTGAGACCTAGGGACAGGGAGAGTAATTTTGCACCTCTAAACTCCATAAAAAAACATAATTTTAGGTAATGGCCTGAAAATCTATTTTATCCTTTAATTATTTAGGGTATTTGAAGTTTTAAAAATGGTGTAAATCAATTAGTACTTGAAAGTTGAAATACAAGTATATATAATGTGTTATAATATACATCGCCCTCGGGAATTAAAATATTTTTTTGTTTTTTAAATCTATAATTTTTGTGATCAAGACTATCAATTTCCGATTAGAATTCATACATCATGACTATCAATTTCCAATTAAAGTTCATATACACACTTTTTTTTTCATAAAGCTTTGACCATATGCTAAATTTCTTAAACTGTTTTCTATACTTTTTCCTCCCCAGCCAGATTTAGTAATGATATTTTATCCGATCCCTTTCTCTCTTTCTCTTCTCTCTCTATGAAAATTAAAAAATAGATAAATTATAAAAGGTGTGGTTTGTATAAGGTTGCAACTTTAAACAGTTAAATTAAGGCGCACCTCCAAAACTTATCGTAAATATAATTTTGGTTCCAAAAATGATTAGGATGGATTGAGAATCTATTTTCATCTCTGGTTATAAAATCTTAAATTCCAAAAATGGTTCAAATCAAGTAGATCGATAAACACTTGAAAATAATGGCCCGGATAGTGTATTGCGAGATAAACTATTTTTAAGACTCGAAATATTTTTTATTTTTTTTCATATTTATGAGATGATCACATAAAAATAGCATGATTTTTCCAAGATCAAAATAACCTTTTTATAATGGTGAAGAATCTTCCTTGTTGCAAAGCATGAGGCAGCCTCTCTACCTTTCTGTATAATAAATAAAAAAAATGGAAGATGGGAGAATAAACTGTGCCCTTCTAGAAAGAGATGCCTGCCTCCCTTCGATCTCTATTAAAATAAAAATTTGAGAAAGGGGAGGCCACAATAGTATGTTTGCCTCCTCAAAAGTCACCAGCTTGGTAAGCTTGCCCCCTCAAAAGACAAACAGGTGTGAGTTATTTTATATCTCAAAAGACAATGTGTGTGCAAGAGCGTGAAATCCTTTATTTTCACCATCCTTTATTTTCACCGGTTATATAGTATCATTGCTGGAGCATATTATACATTTACTCCTTCAAGTAAAAGGGAGTTACCTAAAATATTCTTTGGACTTGAACTTTGGGATCCACTTTAAAATTACCAGATGAGTATTAAAAGAAAATAGAGCTTGAATTTTTGACACACTTAAAATTGACGGATAGAAATTTAAACGGTCTCTTTGCAATTTAAGGGAATTATCTACAAAAATACTGTTTATCTTTTGTACATAATGTTCATAATCATTATTATTTCTTAAATTTCAAAATAAGTGGTTATAAGAGCGTCATTGAAAATGACATAATGTTCAAAAAAAGAAATATTAAACTTCGTCACTCATTCCAAACCATCTAATTTGACATCTAATGAGTGGAAATAATTGTGACAATCCTCAATTTAAGATGTTACTTTTCTTCATGCAATGCTTATGACTTTTTTTCTGTTTCGTGCTTCTTCTAGTTGATCTCTAAGTTGAGGAGGTTATACTTAATATGATTTCATCGCTGAACTTGATAGGTGATATGCTCCGAACATATAATATTTGGGTTTTTTTTAATAAAAAATTTGTTGCAGGAGAAAGGGGCATCGTTTTTGTTAATTGGAGAATTTTCTTTGTAAACATGCTAAAGGAAAAAGGAGGTACCAGTTGCCAAATTGCACAACGTGTGAGGCCACAACTATTTTAGTAAAATTGGAATTTTAAGGAAAAAAATTAGTGAAGGAAGCTGAGATATCATTTTCCAATTAAATTGGATATATAAATAGCAATTAAGAATATTTTTAAATAGGATATATAAATAGCAAGTAAGAATATTTATATGGAAAGAAATGAAAATGAATGACTTTGGGCTTCAATTGGAACTCCTATTAAATTAGGATACAAATAGGGCACTTCTTCATTCTAAATTAGGAAATTTGTCCTTTGATACACATGATTTTGACTTGAAAAAGTAGAAGATGTATTTTGATGAATTTGCCTTCTAAATATGATAGCTCCCTTCTTCTTTTTCTTCCCTTTTTTTTTTTGATAAATATTAAATGTGACGTCTTATTAAACTATAAAACTTATAAAAGATTTTTAAACTAAGAACTTTGAAAAAATTATTAAAAAGGATTTATAAATTTTAATAGGAAATCTCATGAATACTAAAATAGGTACTTACCTATGAAAAGGGATAAAATCTCATAAGAAAATAGAATTTAAAGATAAAATAGAAAAAAGAAAATTAAATTGTGGAAATCAAAAAGTTATGTGAAACTCGATAGAAGTCGTTGACATGTCGTAATCTCCTACTTTTTTATACCAATAACTCATGTAGCATTAACTATAATGTTTGCTTGCTAGCTGCTATCATAATATATTATAACAACCCTTTTAACTACAAAAAGCTAGAAAAATAAAAATTTTAGATTTCTTTGTTTTTAGTCCCTTTCATCTCAAACTTATGTATCTATTCAGGGAAATTTATAGAAAATGCTACTGTTTGCTTGCTAGGTGCTATCATAATATATTATAACAACCCTTTTAACTTAAAAAAGTAAAAAAATAATTCTTAAAATTTTAGATTTCTTTGTTTTTTAGTCCTTTTCATCTCAAACTTAGGTATCTATTCAAGAAATTTATAGGAAATGCCATCTTATATTCAGAACTTAAAAATAATCACTTGTATTTCAAATTTTACTCGAGCCCCACTTTTTGAGAGTATTTATTTTAATTTTAGTAGTTGCACACATTAGATTAAGCTGAAACTTGGACCGTGCATACTGTTACAAAAAATTTATCTGAATAAATAATCCTTAAATCTTTTAGAGGTATTTTATTTATTTGTTATTGAATTATTTTTTTATTTTTTATAGGTACATAATAGTGAAAAGTATGGACACTCAAAATTTGAACCCAATCTAATATAAATAAAAATATACTATATATGGACTTGAGTGTAAAATGTAAAATACATACTATTATTAATTGGATATAATTTTTATTGGTTCATTCACAAATGAGTCAACTCTTAAAAATCTATTTTTGAGATGGATTTTTTGACCTAATTTTTAAGGACATCTAATCTCTAATATAGCGATCATGAATGGAAAAATAAATAAATTTTTTAAACTAAAAACAATAATTCGATTAAGAAAAACATTTGGACTGTTAGTTTCAATTGTTTTTTTAATGGACAACCTATTTACATCTATCTTTAAGATGGATGCTTTATACCTCGAGGACCGTAAATGTTGAAATATTGTTCCATCTACATGAAATAGTTTTCGACATTGTTTACAAAGTGATCATTTTACATTTTATATAATGAGATCACAAAATGATGTCAAATTAGATGACTTGGGATGAGTCTCGAACCGAAAAACAATTGTTTTTGTTTTGGAACTTTATTCAAAGGTAATTATAGATCGTCTATGACTGATATTTCCACACATTTAAGAGGGCATCATAGAAATCCTTCTCTTAATAAAACTACAAATGCAGCGCGGTTAGATAAGGCTTCTCAAATTTTCTTCCTATTTACCCAACTTTCTCTCTCTCCTCTCTTTCTTTCTCTCTCTACTCTCTTTTTTACTCTCTCCTCTCTCTCTCTATTCAGTTCCCTGTCTATCTGCACTGTCTTACTATTTTCAGGATTCTCTCAATGTGCCCCACCCCACTTTCTCTCTCTACTCCGTTTCTCTCGTTCTCCTGCCGTTTCTCTTCCAATTGGACTTTCTCTCTCCAACTTTCTCTCTACTGTGAATTCCCCCTCTCTCTCTACTGTGAATTCCCCCTCTCTCTCTTCAAACAATGTCTCAATGCTTCAGCATTGTCTCTTTCTTCGGCCGACGCCTCCATAATTTATTCGTCTCCCATGGCTTAGAGCCGAAGGCGGTCGATATCGACCGCGAAACCACCATCCACTGTTGGGTCCCGAAGGCCGGCTTCACGAGGCCGGTTCTGGTCCTAATCCACGGTTTCGGACCGGCTTCCATGTGGCAATGGAACGGTCAGGTCCCTTCGTTGTCTCGAGAATTCGATCTCGTCGTCCCTGATCTTGTCTTCTTCGGGGAATCGACCAGTATATCCCGAGAGAGATCAGAGGTCTTCCAGGCCGTTTCCGTTATAAAGCTGCTGGAAACACTAGGAGTCGAACGTTATTCCGTTGCAGGGACGAGTTATGGGGGTTTCGTTGCATATCAGATGGCTAGAATGTGTCCCGAAAAGATTTTACGGGTCGTGATCGCAAGCTCCGGCGTCAATATGAAACGGGAAGATAACGGAAAACTACTTCAAAAAGCGGGTGTCGAAAGAATATGGGATCTCATGTTGCCGGAAAAACCTTCGAATCTCCGGACTCTGGTCAGGCTTGCAGTTTACAGGAGAGTTCATATGGTGCCTAATTTCTTTTTACAAGATATAATCGACGTAAGTTTTTGCATTAATTTTTTGAATTTTCGCTTCTGCTTTTTTTCAGATTTTCCATTATGTAAAATGTAAGTTTTAGCTTTAATGTCTTTGATTTCTGCTTATTATTTTTAGCTTCTTCTCTGTGTTAAATTTTTGTTCTACAATTTTTTGTTCATGGTGTTTTGGATTTTTCTATTTATTTAAAAGGTTATTTTTTTAAAAAAAATTGGTTATGTTTTCTTATGCTTTTACTTGCATTGTATGTGTTTTGTTAGTGAATTTCTTGTTCATTATTTTTCGGAAAAATATACAATGAGATCATTTACTTTTAAAAATTCGTTTCATGCGGTATAAACCATCTATCTTAAAGATGGATGCAACCAATTGAAATTAATAGTTTACATGTATTCTTAATAGAATTATTATTTTTAATTTTTAAAATTTTATTTATTTATTCATATTCAAGCTCCATATTAGAGGTTAGAAATTACGTGTACTAAAATTAGGTCAAAAAATTCACCTCAAAAATAAATTTTTAAGAGGTGGCTCATTTTTACATGGATTCATAGGAACTGTGTCCTTTTGAGAATGAGGATTTTTTTTTTTTTTTAGTACTTCAATGTGTCCTTTTGGGAATGAAGGTTTTTATTTTATTTTATTGTACTTCAATACTTAAGTGGCTATGAAAAACCCCCTTAGTTTTTTTTTAAAAATTGTTAGTGGTTTTTTAATGCATTAGGTGAGATTGAAAGCTTAGACATTAACCGGTGCATACGACCCCAACCCCATTTTCATGAGGGCTTTTTTTATGGGCAAACTTTCCATGCTTCCCCTATTATATAAAAGTTCTATCTTTCCCTTATCCAACCTTTCATTCCGAATTGAGAGTTAAGATTGTCCCAATCACAATATCATGTCTTTACACTATTTTATTTTAACTTTTTTCTATAAATTATTTTGACACCAAATTTTGGACGTCCATTCATCTATTAAACTTACACTAACGAAGAATATAAAAAATATATATTTTCAATAAAATAAAATGATCAAAATATTTATGAAGGTTTCAAGAGGTATTTTGATCATTATATTTTATCGAAAAATTACTTTTAATATTTTTTGTAGGTATGCCCAATGAGAAGATGTTATTTACCAAATTTCATATTCATGCAATTTATATAAAAAAAACTAAAAATAAAATACTTTGAGATGTCGAATCTAAGATCAAATGGTGAGTGGCTCTCCCGATCAAAATTGGATGGCTTGACGGTAGAGATATGATAGAACTTCTATTATACTGTAAGAGAAACGTAGAAACCTTCCCCTGTTTTTTATTGCAAATGGTGTAGAAAGAGTGCTTTCTCTCTCTAAGAGTTGGCAAACGAGGGTTCTTCTCTCTTCAACGATTTATGGACAAACGAGGGTTCTTCTCTCTTCAACGATTTATGGACAATTGGAGCATAAGGTGAGGTCTCTCTCTGTCCAAGTTGTGGAGAATGCCCTCTCTCTCTCTTCAACGATTTAGAGAGCATGAAGAGTCTCTCTCTAAAGATTTGTAAACCATGGAGCATGAGGAGTCTCTCTCCAAAGATTTGTTAAGAAAGAGGTGCATCTCTGTGACTTTCTCTCTCTAAGCGTGGAGAGCTACCACTGGATCGCATGGGCAAAGAAAGTAGACAAGTCAAAAATAAATCGTTGGCCTACTTTGATGATTTGTAATGAAAGTGGCCCAGGGTACCTGCTAATTTCCTCCTTTCTCTCTCTCTAAAGAGAATCACCCTTTCCCCCTTCGATATGGGTCGGGTCTGGTTTGACCCTTCTGCGTTTAGGTCTGACTGCACTAGGTTTAGGTTAGACCCACAGGTTCGCTTCGGTCCAGGTCTAAAAATAAAAGAAAGATATTTAAAGAAATTTTTTTTTTAGACAAGTAAAAAGATCATTGAAAGATTGTTATATATCATTATTACATTCCCTTACCTGACCTTAGTCGGGCCTAGGTCAGGTGGAGACCCATCCCGTCGGATCCATTGTTCGGGTCTAGAGCTGGACCTCGTCAAGTCGACTTGATCAGGTCCACCTGTCGGATTGATGTGTCGATCCACCTGTTTGCCATCCTCTCCCACCTCCATTCATAAACAATGGGGTCCTTGCAAAGAGAACCTCTCTCTCTCTCTCTCACTCACTCTGGTAGTCAATGCATAAAAGCCCTGTTGTAGGACGACCCATCTATACCTAAAACTTTCACTCTCTTGTCTTAAATTTAAGCTATTTGTTTATTTATATCGATAATATATTTTTTGGCTTAAGAATTAGACTTGGGCTTAAGTCGTTAGCAGTTGGACTTTTAAATTAAAAAAAAGTTTCAGAAAAAGAATAATTATTTTTGGATGCATAATGTACGCTGCTTCATAGTATAATTTATTGCTTAAGGTTAAAGAGATATTTAAGAGGAATCTACTTTAGAACCACTGGACTAGTATTTTCAACCAAAAAAAAAAAAAGTAAAAGAAGCAAATTTATTTTGCATTCTTAGTAATTCTATTTTCAAAATGGAAAGGTTTTTATACTTTTCTATTGTATGGAAGATATTACTGTCCCCGTCCAGCTGTCCAATTTTGATGAGCCATTGATTGTTTGATCTAGATTCGACATTGTATTTTATTTTTAATTTTGTTTCTATAAATTATAGGAATATGAAATTTAGTATGTGTCATCATCTCAATGGGATGCATCTAAAAAAATATTAAATGTTTTTTATAAAATAAAATGATCAAAATACCCATAAAAATTTTAAAGGCATTTTGGTAATTTTATTTTATTAAAATTATTTATTTTATATTTTTTTCAAGTGATGCCCAAAATTTGCTATCAAAATATTTTGTAGAAATAAAATTAAAAATAAAATAGTGTAGAGGCATGACATTATAATTGGATAGCAGGAAGTATATAAGTTTTATATATTAAAAGAGGTATAGAAAGCTTATCCTTTTAAAAAATAATAATAATAATAATTTGGGTTAAATTGACCGCCACTACTCAGTGCAGATTTGTATTTTCTCTTTTTTTTTCTTTTTTTCCAAATTGGTCTCATAGGTTGAGGACGTTGAGTCTCACAAATTTGGAGGCCTAGACAGGGTTTTACATGAAGAAGCAAATGGACAATACGCCCTCTCATGGCCATATAATGATTTTTGTTATGTTTTTTATTGTTGGAATTTAAAGTTCAATTTATTAATAATTAATAAATTAGATTAAATTATTAATATATTTTATAAATAGGAATAGATTATTAATAATTAATTATGTATTCCTACATACCCCAAGGTTTCAAAAAATATCTTCTACCCCCCTGACCACTTTAAACTTATTTTTTAACCTAAACAACTGTGAGAAAAACTAATTTTTCTAAACCCAATCATTTCTTCTTCTTCACTTATATTCCCCAAACTTCTCTCTTTTTTTTTTTCCTGCATCTCTCGCTCTCTCTCCTCGTGTGTTTCTCCAAACACTGCGCTCTCTCTTCTTGTGTTTCTCCAGTAACCTTTCACCTCTATGAAGCCCTTCTTTCTCTCTCTAGAAATTTGGGAGGATGGTTATTAGAAAATGTATGTCTTTTTAAATTTGTTTGGGCCTAAAAAAACAAGTTTAAATTAGCTCAGGGGGTTAGAAGAAATAAAATATGCAATTTTTATGCTCCAAGATATCTTGTAAAACCTTGGATCTATTATGAAATGAAACTTAAAAAGTGGGGGTATGGAGATATTTTCCCTCGTTTTAATTGTTTAACACATTTTTCATTATTAATTTGGCTTCAATTTATGAATTTTCTAGACCTTATATAAGGAAAACAGAGAGGAGAAGAAGGAGCTGCTCCTCGGACTCACAATTGGAAAAGAGGACACTGGCGACATAGAACCTCTTCCCCAGGTAAATACACAATTTATCATCATATATTAAATATTGGGTAAATTCATAAAAAAAAATTTAACAATCGACATCATATTTAATATTTTATACTCATGTCTTACTATTTTTAGAGTATATAGTGTATTTTAATTTGGTTTTTATGTACATCAGATTAAGTTCAAATTTGTGACATTTATACTTCTCACCATCACACACCAGTATAAAATATAAAAAATAATTAACTCATTAATAAAAATAACCCAAACAACCTTTCATGGGTATTTTAGAATTTTGATTCTTGAAATATATTCTTTACAAGTGTGCAACAAGGAGAAGTATACAATCTCCAAATTTTAAATTGTATAATTAGGATTAGATAAGGGTTTTTAATAAGGTTTTTTATATTAGAACTACATCTTCCGATAAAATTTACTTATATAATATAAAGTGGGCAACTCATACAAACCTCGCCCTTTAAACAATTTACCAACACCTCTACAATCATCGACAATGGACGATTGACATCAGTCGTATAACTGATGTCAACAACAAAGCAATATACGTTTGTTATTCCTCAGCTTGAATCCATTAGAAACACATTGACCTGAGGAACAACACAAACCAATCCTTCATTGTTGACATCCAAAGCTTGAGGAAATGTGAGCAAAAAATGTTTTTAGAACAAACATTAGCTTTCTATTCATTTCCAGAAAAGGGGATAAATATTAGGTATAAAAATGATGGGATGAGGATTCTACAAGGCCTAAGCTTTTTGAAAATAAAATAAAGCCTCACATCAAATCCTCATCCAGAAAGTACTTTCGGCGATAGAAATCTCTATGATGGCTCTAAAATCAATTTTCAACATCAACAATAAATTTTGAAACTCAAAAAATGGTAGAGATATTGCGGATCTGTGAATACTTATTTTTAAAGTAAAATGAACGGTCTTAGATAATTTGTTACAACGTACAATATTTTTAGGTCTTGAAATCCTGGTTTTTTTTTCACAACCATAATTTGTAAGTCAAGATGATTGATGTAGAGGTTTTTCAATGCTTAACTTGCAATTTTCGATGAGTTATGAGGTGATGATTTACTTATTTTGATAGGGCCGCAGCCTCTCAAACCATTTTCCAAAAATGATATTCCCATGCCTTTTTACATGTTTGGTACTATGTCTCTCATGTATTTTAGTTTGGGATTGAATATAATAATACAGTATAAGACTATTTACCTTTGATGTAAGAAATCCATTTACTTTATACTAAGAAAGTATAAGACCACTTACCTTTGGTGCATAAGAATACAAAGATGTGAAATCAGGTGGCTAATGTATCATTTTCAAAACAAAATATTTTTCAAAATGTGAGCATGGTTGGCACACATCAGCCACTCGATTTATCATCTGATGGCTATGAGTGATTGTATCTGCCTTTCACTAATAATAAATATTTTTCTTATATATTTCATGTTCTGTTGGAGGATGATTTTATTATACGAATAAAAACATAAATTGTCAATTCTTGATGGGCTTCTATTTTGACATGCAGGAAGTCTTGATCGTGTGGGGTGAGCATGACCAGATATTTGAAGTGGAGATGGCCTTTGAGCTAAAGAAGTAAGTTGGATGCTTAAAGGAAAACTTTTATATAGAGCTGAGGCTCTAAACAACCAAATTAGAGCGCGCCTTAAAAATTTAACTAGAAAAGGTTGTTTTGATGTCCAAATAACATGGGCATGAGAAAAAAATGGATTTTAAAAATCGTAAATAGTGCATCTTGTAATGCCTTTTTGGACCGTCATTTTTCAAGATTTTCAAGTTGTCATATATCTACTCAATCTACACTATTTTTTAAGCTTGAAATTTTATAATTAGAGATGAAAATATATTTAAGGCTGTCACAAATATTTCCATATTAAAACCACATTTCTCGACACTATTTGAGCCTCGGCTTTATACAAATCGCACCCTAAACTAAATTACAAGAATGATTTACTCCTATGTTCATTTAGAAAGTTTGAGTTGAACCAATGATTTTAAAACCAAAGAAGAAAAAAGAAAAAGACTCGGGGCGAGTCATTAGGTTTTTGCTTGGGAGAGTCTTGAGCCGCGTCTTTGATTTTTTTTAATTTTTTTTTTATAAATGCAGATTTTGGCCAAATACTAATATGAATTTCACGGAAGTTTGGCATTAGAAGGGATTGCATATAAAGAGACTTTTTACTTTTTGTATATGGTGGTCACAATCATTTCCACTCATTAAATGTCAAATTGGATGGCTTGGGACAAGCACAAAGTTCGAGATGTTATTGAGAACTTTGTGTCAATTCAATGATATTTTTGCAATCACTCATTTTAAAATTCAATGGAAAAAAATGATTATGACCTTCATGTACAAAAGATAAATAGTCTTTTTGTAAACAATAATGTATTAGAAAATTTGGTAGTACACTATAATGTTTGCAAAATTCATATTTATTTTGTAGGCTTTTTGGTGAGAAGACTCGACTCGAAATAATAAAGAACACTGCTCATACGCCTCAAGCTGAAGATCCAAGAACCTTCAATTCCATTATCAAAAGATTCCTCTTAGAATTAGTCTAATGAAAAATAAATTCTTGTTAATTAAGGGAGTTTTGTGTTTTGACTAGTTTAAAGCCTCATGGTGAAGCAACATAAAAAGTATAAATTGTGTCGGAGTGCTTTTTCTCTATTCTATTACTTAAATTTGTTTTTTTTTTTTTTTTTTACAACATTACGATATTTTATTTCTAAAAAAGATATTACAAGAATATTAAACATGAAGTAGTTCTCAGCCAATAACACCCCAAATTTAGCTAAGCCATCCGCAATCACATTTGCCTCTTGGTATACATGATTAAAATCACATTATGCAAATCACCATATATCAAATCACGCAAATGTCCTTTGAAGTCGAGGAAACCATACACATCGGATAAGGATGGCATATCACTGTGATCAATAGGGGCTTGAACCTCCAAATTAGAACGGTCAGATGGTGAATCGGTGCTTTGGCTTGTATGATCTAAAGCAAAAAACGAGTCTATTAGAAAATTGGTCAAAACCAATGTTTTTCTAGTCGGATCGGCCTATTTTGACCAATTCAAACAAATTTCGGCGATTTTTTGCAATAAATTCTGCATTTTTAAATTATTATTGTTATTTTTTAAAATTTTGGCCCACTCAATTCATTGACTGTTCCGACCAATGTTGACTAGACCAAACCCTATATTCAGAATGAAAACTTCATGTAATCAATTTTTTGAGGGTTTACAGAAGAAAAAAAAAAAAAAAATACTCTTCCTTCTAAAGAGTCATTTCCAAGGTATAATTATTATCTCATCATAGAACCAAATGTTAGCAGGGAGAGTGAGGGAATCAGGGTTTCTTTCTTCTATTTCTTAGAGTTATTTAATCATTTGTGATAAGAGAGATTTTTAGGGTAAAATAAAGAAATTAGGTAAATAGTTATTAGACTTTTATATTTCTTACAAGATTGATGACATATTGCCTTTTGTAAAAACTAGTTTTTCAGGTAATAGCCCTTGGATAGGCATGGTTACCATCAAAAGGCGGTTGTTGGGGTGGGCGTATCAGTTTTTTATGGTTACTATTCTCGGCCGTATCAGTTTTTTATTGCCGTCTTTGTAAAATTTGAATTCGTGCAATTTCGAACCAACCTCAAAACAATTTCTTGAAAACCATGTGGTGACAAACCTGATGGCATATGTGTTGTTATTTTCTCTAAATAAAGTTTTAGTTTAGTTATGTTGTGTTCGATCAAATAAAGTTTGCTCTCTTTAAAAAGGTAAAAGTCTCTTTCCCATAATGGCGTGCTTGGTTTAGTTCATTGTGATCCGGGAGTGCATCATGACAGTGACTTTCCGCTACCGAAAATCAACGATCTTTTTTCGATTGTTGAACAACTTTAAATAGCTTCGGTACCGCATGTTATCGTCGTAGACCAAACGACTCACCATTTTTTTTTGTTTATCTGAATTGACTCGGTACCGCATGTTTTCGTCATAGACCAAACGACTCACAAATTTTTTATCGGTCTAAGTCCGATAATAGTTTTTCAGGTCCAGGCTTGGGTCCGAATCCATCCGGGCCTAACCCGACCCAACCCGTTGCCACCCTAGTCAAAATTAGCCATGATACCTAAGATGAATGGAAAGTGGCTGAGAAGAGAGAGGCAATGTTCGGTGAGTGAAAGTTTGGAACTTCGGAGAATAATTAGAGAGAGAGAGAGAGAGAGAGATAAATGTTGATGAATGTTATGTTAATGAAGAAAGATGGAAGTAGTTGCTCGGTCTCCTTTGACCCATCATAACCATTTCATCACAAAAACATTCTCTCTCATGAAACCACACGCTCACATATCTTCAACCCCACTCAAAATTCTTTCTCTCTCCTCACTTCTCCAACCTCAATACTCTCTCTCTCTCTAACCCCCTAATATTGAATTTTAAACAATCACACCTCTCTTAACCTTTTCCCACCGGCTTCCACTCATATTGACTATTGAAGTATTATAAACAAACATTTCCCCCCCCCCCCTCTCTGTCTCATCCCACTAATGGGAAAATATTAAGCACTAATCTAAGAGAGAAGTATTATAAACCAACATTTCCCTCTCTCACATCCCTCTAATGGGGAACTAATAAACAGTAATCTAAGAGAAAACTTGCTCTATATCTCCGCCTATATATATTTTACCTATGCTGTTTAGTTCCTGACTATTCGATCTGAATAGATGGCTGAGATAACATCGGCCACAATGTCACGAGTGAACCATTAACTATTTGATCTAGATCAAATAGTTCCCCATTAAAAATTTAGAACCAACACCGGAAACTCTCTCTCTCATCCAACTGTTATTTTGGAGTATTGAACCAATGCACCTCTGTCTCTCTCTCTCTCCCTTCCTCTCTGTCTTTCTAATCCTATTAGTATTGAAATAATGGCAAAATTTAAGTATTAAACTATATCTCTCATCCCACTACTATTGGAGTATTAAATAAACTACCTCTCTTTCTCTAATCCGACTGGTATTGAGTTAGGCCAGACTTGAAGTATTAAACTAAAGTAAAATGTTTCTCTCTCTCTCTCTCATCCTACTAATATTGAAGTATGAAATCAACAAACCTCTCTCTCTCTCTCTCTCTCTAACCCACTTCTCTCTCTCTCTCTAACCCACCTCTCTCTCTCTCTGACCCACTCGTTTCTTGCCTTCTTCCTCCCCAAAACCCGCGACACCGATTACTATTTAACTCACTCCCCTATGCTATACAGCCCTACGAAGGCGCCTCTCTCTCTCTCTAGAGCCACTTTCTCTCTCCTCCCAGCATCTACTCTCTCTCTCTCTAGAACCACTTTCTCTCTCCTCTTATTCCTTCCATTACCATTATTCCTACGTTTCTTTCCTCCCTTTATCTTTTCAACGTTCAAAGGTTCAACCCTCCCCTCCCTCTTTTTGCCATTTAAAGAAATGCCTGTTTTGGGGGTCTCTGTCACAGGGACTCCCATTCAACTTGCTCTTTCTCTCTCCTCTCCCCCTCCTCTCTCTCTCTCTCTCTCCCCAGGTATGAAGAAGCTCTTTCTCACTCTACACCACACGCACTCTCTCTTTAATTTCCTTTTACTTTTCCATGTGTTGCCTTTTATATTCTCTCTCTCTCGCTCTGTGTTAATGAACTGGATCTAGATCTCGTCTTTCTACTGAGAATGGATCAAAGGAACACTTAGGGTGATTACTTACTAAGTGTTTTTTACTCTCTCTGTCTCCCTCTCTCTCTAGACTGTAATTCTTTTTTTCCTGAATTGTAGTTTGGATTTTTCTACATCGTGAACAGTGTTTTCTTTCTTTTTTTAAATGTATTTTGAAGTTTAATTTTGTTGTTGTTGTGTGTTTATAGCTCATGCATTGCATCAGTTTCATGATTTTTAATTAAGTGGTTAAGCGTTGTAATGGATTTTTTGTTTAACTTAGATTGAATGTTCAGAGGAAAAAAATGTTAATTTGTGACTGTTTATCATATTTGATCGATATCTGAACAGTTCACTTTTGATCCTAAAGGTCTTTATTTCATGCTCTTTTGGTTCTGTGAAAGTTTAGAGAGAGAGAGAGAGAGAGAGAGAGAGAGAGAGAGAGAGAGAGTAGTAGTTAGTTAGTACACTATTACGTTACTTTAACTTTTAACTTTACTTACTTAGTTAAGAAAGGAAAAGAAAGGTAAGTAGTAAGTAA